ATGACTTAAAAACTCCTAATTAATTTCGAATGAACTGGAACAAAGAGGCACAGCTTGACGAGCACCAGGTTGTGAAAGCTCCTGATGTTGAAAACTTGCAGTGGAGCCACCCTGGGATGAGGAAAGTTGGGAGCAGGCTGGATAAAAGGAGCGGAAAGAAACAAATGCAGGAGCTGAAGGTGGATGGGAGGAAGATTCTGGTGTAGATCAGCAGTTCAGGGAGCTCTGTAGCAGCTCAGTTGAAAGGAGCAGGGAGAAAAGGAGGTAAAAAATGAAAATCAGTGGGTGGGCTGAGGCTGCTGGTACAGGTCAGCAGTTCTGGGAGCTCTGCTGCAGCTCTGGGAATGGGTGATGGAAATGCCTCAAATCTCCAGATTCCATTTCAAGTTCAGTTAATTTTAGGTGACACCCAGTGAAATCTGGGAGTCAGATCTGCTCTGGTACTCACAGGTCCGACCCCAGGAGGAAAAGGATCAAAGTGTGGATGAAGGAGGGTCCTGCATGCTTCTCTCAGGGTAAAATGTCAGGATTGTGGAGGGGTTTGGGTTGGAAGGGACCTTAAAGCTCTTTGTTTTCCACCCCCAGTGGGCAGGGACACCTCCCATAGAATGGAGGGTGGGACACAAATCCCAGGAATTCATGAGGTTCCAGAGGGTGGGACTGAAGGGGCCCAGAGTGAAAGGGAAGGGAAAAGGAAGAGAGCAGAGCTGTGGAGGACGTGCAGCTGGGCAGAGGTTGCTCTGTGCCCAGCAGGTTCCTTTTTGAAGGCTGAGTGGCTTTGGGGAGTGATTGAAAGCTGCAGGAAGTGGGAGAGCTGCAGGTTCAGTGGGTTTATTCCTGCCTGTTCTCCATGCCCTGGCATGTGATGGATCCTTGCTGAGGGTGCCACCTGTGCCTCAGGTCACTGTCAGCTGGTGTGACAGCTGTGTGACCTCTGAGGAGGTTCTGCTCTGCTCCTGCTGTGTCTGGGCTGGCCTCCAGCACCTCCGAGTGGCTCCTTTGCTGGGTGCCCTTGGCAGGGTGGTGTCCAGAGCCCAGCCAGCCCTGGGACAGGGGAGCTGCCGCTGCACCAGGATCATCCCAGTGCCTTTCCTCTGTCCCAAAACCAGCCTTTGGCAGCTGTTCACATCCAGACAAACAAGATAAACTGCTCGCAGCTCATCCTGGGAAGGAACAGACTCAGCTACAAAATGAGTAACAGGACCTTCCCTACATCTCCACAAATCTGCTCCTTCATTTCTGTACAATCACTGGGAAATATTCCCTTGATTGCTGGGAACAAAGCTTTTCTTGAGGGGGAGGGGGAATCCCTGCTCCTAATCTGCAGGGGAATTGGTAAATGGGAAAGACAGAGCTTTAATAGCATTATTCTGGATGACATCTGAGGTAAATAATCCAGTTCTATTAATCCCTGCAGCAATCAGGGCTCTGGCTGGTGGAGGCAGCCAAGAATGAGCAATAATATAATAGAATAGAATATGATATAATAAAATATATAACAATAAAACATAACAATAGGATAGAATAGAATGATATCATATATAATATCACACAATGCAAACAATTACTATTATTAATATTATATAATTAATAAACACAAAATATAAGTTATATTATATTATATTAATTATATATTAATTATATATTATATTATATTATATTATATTATATTATATTATATTATATTATATTATATTATATTATATTATATTATATTATATTATATTATATATATTATATTATATTATATTATATTATATTATATTATATTATATTATATTATATTATATTATATTATATTATATTATATTATATTATATCTCTGCTCAGGTGTGTTGGAGCAGAATCCAAATCCATGGAAGCCGTGGCTGCAGCAGCTCAGGGAGTCACTCAGCAGGGATTTGAGGGCCTGGGGACAGTCAGGGGCTCCAAGGACATCCCAGAACCTTGGACCCCTCTCCATCTGCTGTGGGATTCTCAGGTTGGATAGAGCTGGGGAAGGTTCTGGAGCATCAGAGGAGCAGCTGAGGAGGAAAGGAGGCTCAGGGAGAACCTTGGCCCTCTCCACACCCCTTCCAGGAGGTGCCATACTCTTCTCCAGGTGACAAGTGGCAGGACAAAAGGAAAGGGCCTCAAGGGCATGATTGGGTTTGATATTAAAAAAAATTCCCCACTAGAAGGCTTGGCCAGGCCTGGGGAAGGCTTGGGAGGGGAGTCAGCAACCCTGGGAGCACTGGGAAAAGTGTGGAAGTGGTGTTGAGGACATGGTTCAGTGGTAAGGGGTGGAACTGGGGGCCTGGGGGCCTTTTCCAGCCCTAAGGAGGATGGAATTCTGTGAAGTCAGTGCTGTGTCCTTGCACTCTGCTCCTCCCTCTCAGGGGAAGGGAGATTTCAGCAGGTCTCGTTTGGGGCTGCCCACGTGGATCCCAGACTGGTTTGGGTGGGAAGGGACCTAAAGCTGATCCTGTCCCATCCCTGCCAGGGACAGGGACACATCCACTGTCCCAGGCTGCTGCAAGTCCTTTCCAACCCGGCCTTGGGCCTTGGGCGTGGGGGAATCAGAGATTTCCTGGGCACAGGTTCTGCACCTTGAGTGAGCCCTCACCTGGCCAGCCTCTGGAATCATTTTTCTCTCTCCATGAGCAGGAATTTGAAGATCTCTTTGTCTCCTGCACTTGGGTGATTTAAAAACTCCAAGTTCTCTTCAGTGACCCAGGGCAGTGGGGGGGAGTTAATGCTGCTGTGCCTCCCCTCCTGGAGCAAGATCTGACATGTGCAGGCAGCCCAGTGAAGCAGAATTTTAATCTGAGATCCGTTTTCCAAGTCTGATTTTAAGATCCCATGCAGGTCAGGGTTGTCTGATTCTTTACAGTTCATTAAGTAGAGAGCAGCTCGTGGTAGAGATTGACTTTTAAAAATGATGGATTTTTATTTATAGCGTTGTTCTACTCATTAATTTTAAAGGATGGAAGCATAAAAGCAGGAATGGGTTCATTTAAAAAAAAAAAAAGTGACATTGGTAATTTAATTAAATTGGGGGTTTGAGTATCACTACAGAAAATGAAATGTTACTTCTGGGCTGCTTTTCCACCCGTCTGGATTTGACAGCAGCCTCTGCTCCCAGAACCTGCCCAGGCAGGAATATTTCCAGGTGGAACTTCCCAGCTCCAGGGGCTTTGGGGGAGGATGTAAATAATGGCTTTGGGGGGAAGAAATGGTGTCAGGAGCTGGGATCTACCTCTGCTGCTGTGCAGGGAGGGGCTGGGGGTGGCTGGAGCCCTGGGCTGGGCTTGGGGACACTCATGTGTGACCAGAGGGACAGCTGAAAAACCCTAAAACTAGGCTTGGGGACACTTAGGTGTGACCAGAGATCTGGAGGACAGCAGAAACCCTCCTGAAAATCCCCCAAAACTGAGCTTTGGGACACTCAGGTGTGAGCAGAGCTCATGGGCACAGCAGAAAAACCCCAAAACCTGACTGAAGCAGCTCAGGAGTGGACCTGAAGATGCCATTAACATAAATCCCATTCCAGGTGATGTTTAATTGCAGGATTTCCAGAACTGGGTTCACCACAAAACCAGGTGGCCTCCCTGGGAGCAGGGAACTGCTCCTGTGTCCATTTGGGATTAACCCTTCATTCCAGAGTATCCTCCTGCTCCCAAAGCACTGCCCATGGCAGGATTTGCCTCAGGACTGGGGATTTATGTCCCATTTCCCCAGCTCCAGCTCTGGCTGGGTTTTATATTTCCATGTGTACCAGGGCATCATTTTCCTTTTCCTCTCTCCTTTGCTTTGCCAAGGCTGCAGAGAAAACCTCTGCTTGTGGAAATCCATCCCTGACAAACTCCTTTTCCATCCCTGAGTGTGAACAGGGCCCTCCCCTGCTCTCCCAGCCCTGATGAGAAGGAGCCATCGCTGGAGATGCTGCACAAGGGCCTGATTTCAATTTGATGAAGTAATTTTTAGGCCTGGTTGTCTTTGCTTGGGTTTTTTATCAGCCTTTTATCGTGATTGGAGTCGATCTCTTTTTGGAGTGGCTCATGGAAACCTGGGGGATTTATTTAAGTTCCCTGGAAGTGCTGTGCAGAGGCACTGCCTGAGGGTTTATTGGCATTACAGCTGCAGCTTTCCCATCTTAGACTGGAGTATCCCACATTTCCCCTGATTTTGTTGAGCTCTGTTTTGCCTTAAGTGCAGCTGGGTCCAGCTGTGTTTGAGTCTGGTTTGATGCAAGTGTGTGAAATCTGGATTAAACACTGGGAATTATAAATCCTGGTGAACTGAAACATTTCAGGTTTTTGGGTTTTTTTTTGCCAGGAAATCAGTTTTGCTGGGTTTTGGGTGGATTTAAGGTGTTAAACAACACTGCTTGTATTGCAGGGACTGTGGCCTGTTGGAAAATGTGATCACTGGATTTAATCAGCTCAAGCTATATAAGTGAATGCAATCAAGTTATATAAAAATGGTGGTGGGGGGGAGAGGTTTAGTAGCTAGGAAGAAATTCCTCCCTGTGAGGGCTGGGATGGATTTCCCAGAGAAGCTGTGGCTGCCCCTGGATCCCTGGAAGTGTCCAAGGCCAGGCTGGAGCAGCCTGGGATCATGGAAAGTGCCCTGCCCATGGGATGGGGCGGAATGAGACGATCCTTAAATCCCTTCCCAACCAAAGCATTCCATGATTATCCAGAAGATCAAGCACCTACCATGGCCTGATCCTTAAATTCCTTCCTGTGGTTCAGAAATTGCTCAGACTGATCAAGAAGGAGAGGATCTTGTTGACTCAGCAGCTTGGGGAGGGATTTTTCCTTCTTCATCTGGATATTTGGGAGAAATGATATTTAAATGTTGACTGCAAGGGGCCTGATGAGTTCTGGTACAACACCAGGTAAGTCTGGAGGTTGCTGGAGTGGATTATTCTGTTTTCAATGATGATTTTCCTGTTTTAACTGAGGATTTGCCTGTGACAATTCCCTGTCCCTAACCAAGCCCTGCTTTCCTTGCAGCCCTGCCCAGCCACACGTGCGGGAACCCGGGGCGGCTGCGGAACGGGGTCCAGCAAGGGACCACCTTCAGCATCGGGGACAGGGTCAGGTACAGCTGCAACCCCGGCTTCTTCCTGGAGGGCCACGCCCTGCTCACCTGCCAGGCCAGCTCAGGACACGGAGCCTCCTGGGATTTCCCTCTCCCTGTCTGCAGAGGTAATGACATCCCCTCCAAATGGGGTTTGCTCTGATGGTTGGGGTGGGGTGTGGAGCTTGGTTTGAAAGGGTTAAAAACCAACCCTTAAAAACTGACCCTTAAAACCAACCCTTAAAACCAACCCTTAAATACCAAACCTTAAAAACCAACCCTTAAAATCAACCCCTAAAACCAGTCTTTAAAACCAACCCTTTAAAACCAAATCTTAAAAAACCAACCCTTAAAAACCAACTCTTAAAACCAACCCTTAAATACCAAACCTTCAAAACCGACCCCTAAAACCAGTCCTTAAAAACCGACCCTTAAAACCAACCCTTAAAAACCGACCCTTAAAACCAACCCTTAAAAACCGACCCTTAAAAACCAGGCCTTAAAAACTGACCCTTAAGAACTGACCCTTAAAAACCAGCCCTAAAGGGGGAAAGTGAAGGTGGTGTGCTTGATGGTTTTGGGTTGTGGTTAATCTTTTTTAATGAGTTCCTCAAGGCTGCTGGGGGTTTGGGGGGGATAATGGGAAGGTTGTGAAGGGCTTGGAGTGTTGGCAATGTGGCCCAGCTGCTTCAGCTGCAGTTTCTTGGTGTAAAGTGGGGAAAACCCCAATTTTACAAGTGACAGGGCAAGGGGAGATGGCTTTAAATGGAAAGAGAGTAGGTTTAGATGAAATCTAGGAGGAAATTCCTCCCTCTGAAGGAGGTGAGGTGTTGGGATTGATTTCCTGGAGAAGCTGTGGTGGCCCCTGGATCCTGGACGTGTCCAAGGCCAGGTTGGAGCAACCTGGGATAGTGGGAGGTGTCCCTGCCCATGGAATGGGGTGAAGTGGGATGATCCTTAAGCTCCTTCCCAACCCAAACCAATCATGATTCCATGATTATCCAAAAGATCAAGCACCTACCAAAAACTGCAGGTTTTCCAGCTCAGACACTGGGAATGGGACTTTTCTGCTTTCCAGCACCAGATTCCCTCTCCTGTGGCACATCCCAGGGTGATTGTCCCTCTGTGGTTTCCTGGCTCGGGGATGCTGTAGGGGATTGAAAACAAAAACCAACTTCTTGCCACTTTAGGGGCAGGGAAACTTCAAATTCCGTTATCAGTCCAGAGAGTGCCTTGCTAATTGTGCTCCCACGGGGGCTGGAGAGTCTGTAAATACACAAATGTCTGTGTTGTTCTACCAGAAACATTTGCTGCTGCTCTTGAAGTCTTTTCCCCTCGATTTCTTGTGTACTTCAGCAGAGCATCTCCTATTGATTCTTTTCATTGACTCTGCCTGTGCAATCAATCAGCCCCTCAAAGCTGGGCCGTGGAGCTGGAGTTTAAAGTGAGCAAATTCTGTTTGCTTGGGATGTTTTTCATGCTCCCTTGGATCAGTTACACGGCACAGGGATGTGTTGTGCCTCCCAGTGGGGTTTTTTTTTGGGCACTTCCCTGCTGGTTTGGGGCCAGGAGCATTTAGGGAGTGTGAGGAGGCGCTCAGTGACTTGAGAGAGGGCTGCTTATCCCTGGTGGTTTTTTATGATCAGTTATGATACTTTTCTCTCCTTATCCTTCAAATTAGGACAGCCTTTGTCACCTTTATAATACTTGCTTTATTTTTTAATTCTCTTTTTTGAGTTTCACTGGAGGTGAAAATACTCCAAGAATCAAGGGATGAAGGATCATTGATTCCAGCTTCTGGCCCTGCACAGACCACCCCAAAATCCAACCTTGAGAGCAGTGTCCACGCTCTCCTGGAGCTCTGGCAGCCTTGGGAAAGTTCCCGTTCCCTCTGGGGGAAGAACCTTTCCCTAAATCCATCCTAATATTCCATCAGGAGGATCTGCAGCCCCTCTGAGCTCTGCCCTTGATCTCCTCCTCTCCAGCTGAACACCCTAAGTGCCCTCAGCTGTTCCTCCTGCCCCTTCACCATTCCTGGCCCTCCTCTGGACACTCTAAAGTTGAAATTCCCTGAAATTCCATTTTGAGAATGAGCAAAGCAGCACCTTGTTGGGAGAAAAGGGAGTTCCCTGCTTGGATGGAGCAGCTCCCTCTGCCAGCATTTCCCAGAGTCTTCTCCTTGGCCAGCTTCATTCAGCATTTGTGGAGGAGACCCTGGGGAGGAAGGGAGGGATTAATCCTAACCCCAGCTGAGGGTTGGCATCATTTCCATTCCTGAGATCCCCTCTCCAGCTGGAGGAAAGGCCCAGTTTTGCATTTCCATCCTGAACTGCCAGACTTGTGTTGGATTTCAATGCTGCCCTTCCAGTCTGGAGTCCAGCACTGGGGCTGGTGGCACCCGGGCAGCCCCAGGATGGAGGAAAATCCAGGGAATGGTTCCAAGGGCAGCACAAAATGTGTGTTTCAGCTGCTCTGGTGGAGCTGTGCCTGCTGCTTTCTGGAGGCAGCCACTTTTCTGATGGATTTGGTCCTGATTCCTGATCCTTCAAGACTTTGCCTCGGAAGTTGCACTTGAAACGTCTTTTTTCCAGGGGAAATGTTCTCCTGGAACATTTAAATCCTGTTCCAGGAGAGCAGCAAGCAGCAAAGCCAGGCTGCAGAGGGTGGGTTTGAAGACATCTCTGGGCTCCCAGGAGTGTCCCAGTTGTGCTTGGCTGATAAACTGGGGACACAGATTTCTCTTGGAGCAAAGGGCAGAAGGATTTGCTTCCTATCAAAAAGCTTTTCCCTTTTTTTCTGCAGGGAAAAGGATGATTCCAAAGCTCTTGCCTGAAGGAGAATAAATATATTTAATAAATTTAACTTGCCCTGAGAGCGAAGAGATCTTTGTGGCCTGTGTAGATTATAATTCTGTTAAAATTCCCTTATTGGTGGTGGCCATTGGGAAGTTTATTAAATGGATTTGTAGGTGTTATTTCATTTTCTAATGGAAGTTGGGGTTGGGATCCTGATAAATTGGAAAGAAAAGTGCTCTCAGGGTGTGTAGATTAAAACTGGGGAGCTTTCTTGGGAATAGACCTGTCCCAAGTCACTTGAAAGGGGAATGTTTGGGGACTCTGTCCTTCTCTCTCCTCTCCCCTTCTCTCCAGGATAGCAGAGAGGTGGTGGAGGGTTCTACTCCTGATTCTTCCTTCTGCTTTTTCTTTCCTGCTTTTCCCTTGCTTTGTGACATTTTGTATTGGCAGCTTTGCCCTGCTCTGGTCTTGATGCATTGAAAGAATCAAAGAGAAATTCGTGGTGGGAAAGAGGAGGAATCCAGGAGAGGATTTGCTGGGATGGGAGAGTGTTGGAATGCTGGGCTCACCTTCATCATTCCTCCTCCATGGGAATTGGCTGCACTCCTTTTACCCAACTCAGGGTAATTCTTTGGAATCACAAACTTTGGAATTACAAAGTTTTCTTGTAAAGGACGAGCGCAAACCCAGGGGGAAAGGAAAGGAGCAGGGAATTCCAGCGGGATCAGGAGTGGCTCAGTGAGATGTGTGGCAGATTTGTACCTCAGCTGCAGTTTGGGAAGCACAGCTGGATCAGAATTGATCCTCTCAGCACAGATCCATCAGTTCAGGCTGCGTGTGCTGGGTTCTGTCCCTGCTGGCCTGGCACCAGGGCTGGAAATGCTGGGATCTCCCCAAGGATGCCACCTTGGCTGCTGTGGAGGAGAACAGCACCTGGGGCAGGAGTTTGGCTGTGGAATTTGGGAATTTGCCACCAGAACTGGAAGTCCTGACTGGCTGTGAAGCCTGGGCTAGGCTGAGGTTTATCCCATCCCTGGAAAAATCCCACCAATGCAGAAATCCCTGGAATGTTCTCCCTGTGTGTTTCACACATTTCCTGCCCAATCTGCTCTCAGGAGTGAAATGAGGCCAAGTTCTGAGCCTAAACAGGGCTTAGGCTGAGCCCCACAAGTCCAGCTGTATTTTTATCCTGGTGGCTGGAATGCTGGAGGCAGAATTCCCAGCAGCTGCCTCCCGTTCTGCCCTCACCTGTGCCAGTGGGCCTCCAGCAAAGCAAAGCCCTTGGAGCACTGGAAAACGATCCCAAAACATCCCAATCTGTTGGGAAAACACTTCCATGCATGCAGGAGAAGCCTTTGCCCAGAGTTTTTGCTGAATTGAAACAGAACTGGTGGGTTCTGGTGGGTGGTGGAGTAAAAACTCAGCAAAGCCAGAGGAAAAGTTGGGAACATTTGTGGAGCTCCATTTTGGGCATATCAAATCTGCATAATCTCATTAAAAGAGATTAAAAAAATAAAAAAGCTCCATCTTACTGTAAGTCCAGCAGCTGCTGAGGCTGTGCCGTGCCCAGAATAATTGGAGGCTGCTCAGGAAGATTTTGGAAGATTGTAGGATATGTTGAAGCAATAACAGCCTCTACACACCGAGGGAGTGTGTGTTTAGAGGTGGATGGAAAGGGAATACCTTTTGCAATGAAAAAATTGTCAAGGAATTTAAATTAAGAACTCCCCTCTTAATAATAGATATAATAAAAAAACCAAACCACCTTGCCTTTGGCTGGGTCCTGAGTTCCTGTGAATTTGCATAAAAGCAGAGTAGTCCCTTGTTGAAGAATTCTAGTGTGGCATTGAATGAAAATTCTTCAGCCTGTTCTCCAGCCCCTTCTGTACCTTCCAGTCCAGGGGGGTGGTTTGGATTTTTCTATGGATCTGTGTATCCTGTGCAGGATCCATCCAAGTTCAAAGGATGTCTTTGGGCCTAAATGAGGGATCTTCCAGCCTAAATTTATTTGTGATTTGAACACAGATCTTCAGTGTCTAGAATTAATTCACTGATGGTGCAGCAAATAGGATCATGGAATGATTTGGGCTGGGAGGGAGTTTAAGGATCATCTGATCCCATGGGCAGGGACACCTTCCACTGCCCCAGGTTGCTCCAAGGACAGTCCAGCCTGGCCTGGGACACTTCCAGGGATGCAGGGGCAGCTTCTCTGGGAACAGGTCACCGTGCCAGGGAGCAGAGCACTGAGTCAGGATGTTGGTGGCCTTTTCCAGACCTCATTTGGGCTGCTGGAATGGACCAGGATTTTCCATGGCTGCCTTTTCAGTTGTATTCTTTGCTCTTGCCATGAGCTCTGTGATTCCCAGCGAGTGCCACTCCTGGCTGGGCACAGAATGCCAGCATGGCATGGGTTGGAAGGGACCTTAAAGATGTCTCATTCCATGGGCAGGGACACCTCCCCCTATGCCAAGCTGCTCTAAACCCCATCCAGCCTGGCCTTGGACACTTCCAGGTCTGATCTGTGCTGGGAGGTGCCAGCTCGGGCTGGAAGGGGGTGGCACGGTCCCAGCAGTGCCTGGTGGCCCCGGGAGCTGCTGGGTGGCATTGCCATCTCAGGAGGGAGGCTGGCACAGCCTGGCTGGGGCTTTACCTCTCAGTTTTCCTCAGTCAGGGATGCATCTCTGCCCTGGAGCTGCTGCTGGCACCAGGGCTGGGGGCTGAGGAGGCTCCTCGTGGAGGGGTCCTGCCCAACGTTCCCAGCTTGGGAAACCTCAGTCTGGAAGGGCTGTTAGAAAGGATGGTTTGTGGTGGAAAGAAGTGTTTGTCATGTGAAGCCCCAGGCTCCTTGGCTGGAGTGTCTGGAACGCTGCCCCAGCTCACCTTGTGAAGTCACCAGGTTTTGCTCAGCCACATTCCCAAGAAAAGCTGAGCTGCTGCTGCCTCCTGAGCAGGAATTCGTTCCTGCTTTCCTCCACCTCCCTGCCATTCCCTTCAGATCCTCCTCTTTGTATTGCTCTGACAGCTCCTGCTCAGGAAATGCAGGGGGGCACCTGTGGGAAGCAGGAGATGCAGCACAGGCCCAGGAGCTGTCACTGACAAGGGGTTAAGTTTCCCCCACTCTGATTTTGGCAGCCACAATAATTTCCTTAAAAAATCACAGACATGTGAGGCAGAGGGATGCTCCACTCCTTTTCCCATCAGGTTTCTTTTAAATGTGGTGTTTTTACTGCCAGGTCCCGTTGTCCCAGCCCTTGGGGATGTTTCTGTGGCTCAGGAAGGTGCTGGGATCTGAGCTGGGAACCTGCTGTGATGGGAGTGTGTTCACTGTCTCCTGGGATTTTCCTCCTCTTTGCTGGGCATGGATGGGAGGAAAATTCCAGGAGAAATCTCAGAGGATCCTAATCAGGAAAAAGGGACATCAGGAGGAATTTCCTCGTGAAAAGGGTGGGGAGGAATTGGAAGGAGCTGCTTAGGGAGGTTTGGAGTCCCCATCCCTGGAGGTGGCACTCAGTGCTCTGGGGACAAGGTGAGGATCTTGGTTGGCCTCGAGGGTCCTGGAGGGCTTTTCCAACCTAAATAATCCTGGGATTAAGTGATAGAACAGGAAATTCGGGCAAGAACAAGTGAGGAAATGTGTCTGACAGGGAGATGTGCTGGGAACGGGCTCCTCAGGAGAGCTGGGAGCAGCTCTGGCACTGGGGGTGTTTAAAATCAAGCTGAGAGCTTGGTGGGAAACGAGGCAGCATTTGCCAGGAATCAGCCCCTGGCTGATCCTGATGGATTTTGCATCCCTCCACATCTCCATCCTTCAGCATGGGCAGTGAACCCCCCTGAGCAAACCAGGGGGCTTTGGCTCTGACTTTGGGCTGGATCTTTGGGCAGTTCGAGGCTCACCCCTTGCGTTGTGTTGCAGCCGACGACGCCTGCGGAGGGACCCTGCGGGGCCAGAGCGGGATCATCTCCAGCCCTCACTTCCCCCTGGAGTATGGCAACAATGCAGACTGCACCTGGACCATCCTGGCCGAGCCTGGGGACACCATTGCCCTGGTTTTCATGGATTTTCAGCTGGAGGATGGATACGATGTCCTGGAAGTTGCTGGCACAGAGGGATCCTCGCTCTGGTAGGTTCCTGCTGGTGTAAATTCCTTGTAGGACACTTGGGGTGGTGCTTGTGTGGGCAGAGCCAAACTTCACAGGGTGGTCAGAGAGAGCAGTTGGTGCCTGAAGGAGGGGAAATTCCCAGTTGTTCCCAGTGGCTTCCTTCTGAAACTTGGGATTTGCTTGGCAGGCTCCGCAGTGAGCACTGGCTGCTGCGAATTCTGGTGTCTGCAGTCAGAGTCCATGGTGTGGCTGGGTAGGAGAAGATTAATTAAAAAACACAAATAAAATCACCCAACCTCTGAGAACCCCTCAAACCCTGCCACACTCAAGCCTTGGTTTTGCTAAATGTTGTGATTATTGATAAACCCATTGCTGTTGATGAACTTCTGGAAATGTTTCACCAGATCTACTTGGCCCTGGGACAGGAGACAGAATTCCAACCCCCTTCTCACCCCAGGGGTTGCCTGGAAAATGCTCTCAGAAATAGTGCTTTGATTTGGGATAAAGGCCAGTATTTCCAGTATTCAGGAGCTACCCCTGTGCTCTGAAGGCAGGAGAAATAAGGAACCACAGAGGGAATTTGATGTGTTCCTGATATTGGTTTTATAGCAAGAGACATGGGGACTGCACTCAGCAAATGGTTAAAAGTCCTGACTGGCAGCAAGTGGAAGGTCCTGGAAGTTGGATTTGAACCCAACATCCCTCTGGAAGGGAAGAATGAAGCATTTGAAATGATCAGGTGTTGTCTGGGATTATCAGCAGCCAGTTAAATTGTGATTATTTGTGAGGATCCTGTTGCAAATCCCATTTATTTGAGTGATTTATCTTGGCTGGCAGTTCTGAGGGAACAGGATTGGAGTGTTTTGGGTGTATTGATGGGAGGGAAGTTGCCATTTACCACGTTCCAATTGTTTACTATTCCCAGGCCCCCCTGGAAAATTAGATGTTGCTGCTTGATGAAAAAAAAAGCCTGGGCTGGTTTTATTAGAATGCATTAATATTTTAGGGCACTGTTGGTTCGTAGGCACTCAGCTGTGCTGGCTGGGAAGATGGATGGAGCTGGTTAAGAAACATTATTCAGCCTGGAGGTGTGTGGAGCCAAGAGCTGTGTCTTGTCATGTCAAAAATAAAACAAAGCCTGGCAGAGGGAAGCTGATAGAAAATAAAATAAAATAAAAAACAATATATAATATATAATATATAATATATAATATATAATATATAATATATAATATATAATATATAATATATAATATATAATATATAATATATAATATATAAGAAAAGAAAATTTAAAATAAAATATATAAAAATATAAAATAAAATAAAAATATAAATTAAATAAAATAAAAATATAAAATAAAATAAAATAAAATAAAATAAAATAAAATAAAATAAAATAAAATAAAATTCATAAATACAGCAGGGAAACAACTTTAAAAATGCCAGTTGTGGGGAATTTAAGCCTGGCTTTGATCTGAGCCTGCACACACAGTCTTTAAAACTGAGATTAAACCCTGGTTTAAGTTTTACAGGTGTCACTTTGGGGTGTGTTGGAGGGAAAAATGATGGATTTACATCCCTGCTCCCCCTCCAGGTGTCCATGTGCTGCATCCCTGGCGCTGCCTTTCCCTGGATGAGCTCTGGGGTCCCCTGGCCCCACCAGCAGGAATTGCCCCCTGGTAGAAGCTGTTCCTGCTTTTTGAGGTGCATCCCTGAATTTTACATCCCTGATTTCCACATCCACACAAGCCAGCCCCAGCCCATTCCAGGGGATCTCATTTTGCATTCCTGAAGGAAACTTTGCAGTCCCACAAGCAGAATTGCAAAGAAGTCTTGTTTGGAATTTCATCTCTCTGAGCTGGCCTGGTAATTAAATTCAGATGAGTCAGTTCTCAATAATTTTTGCCCGTAGGGGGAAAAAACCTGCTCCTATCTTGTCTTTAACCATGATGATGTGATTCAGCAGGAAAAGAGAGCTCAAACCCCTTTTTCCCCCTTCTGCCTACAAAAAAAGGGGTTTTAATTATTGGTAATAGGGCACAGAGACTTGCAGCCAATTCTCTTGAAGCCTCCCGCAGCTGAATATTCCAAATATTTAATTTTCTGAGCATTCCGAGTAGTTTTAGTCATGGCCAGGGCTGGGCACGAATAAACAAAATCCAGTTCCATCAGGAGGATAATTCCTGTGTGTTTCCAAGCTATGGAATGGCACCTAATGATGGTATTTATGAGCCCATTAACTCAGCACTTCAAGTAACCTTGACTTGACCTAATCTTAGAAAAACTTGCATTATTATCCACCCTCCTGGCTTTAAAAATTGATTTTTGGGGGTTTTTAGTTTTGTTTTTTTTTGTTTAAATGAGCCAGCTTGCTTTAAGTGCCTTCACATTGATCCACAGCCTGGAAAATCCTGAGCTGGGTTTCCTTTGCTCCCCATCCTGTTGGATGCAAATCCTGCAGGAAGAATTCCAAGGGAAAGGGCTGTGCCAGGCAGAGCAGCAGCAGTGCAGGAGCTGTTTGAAACAGATTAATAAAATCACACATTTCCAGCTCTTTCAGCTGCTCCCACGGCTCTGCTGGGGAGCCTTGGGCCCAAATTGCCTTGACAGGTGAGAAATAAAATCCTGCTGAGCAGGGAGCAGGAGGGGGAAGGTGCAGGGTGGGATGAGCCTGTGGGATTGGGCAAGGTGGGCTCTCCAGGCTGGGAGGTGAAATGGGAAGCAGGGCAGGAGCTGCCCTGTTCTCCTTTGGGCCATCCAGGTGTGATCCTGCCCTGTCCCCATGGTGTGCTCAAATGGGAGCAAGAGGATCTTTGTGTCGCCCTGAAACTCAGTTTTTCCATCTTGTTGACATAATTTCTAAGAGCTTTCCTTGTTGACATAATTTCTAAGAGCTTTCCCAGGTCAGTGACTGTAAACACAGATATGTATTCATTCTTTCTGGTACACGTCCTTTGATGGACGTCTCACACAACCAGTGTGATTGGGAAGGTGCTAACCTGACTATCCAATCCCTGGTCATTGCCCAGAATCTATAAATACTGAAGTTGGAAGAATAAAACCAGTTTTTCCCTGTCATAGGGGAGCTGTGTCTGTGTGAGTCATTGTGACATCTCTGAAGTCCCTTCCAACCCAGTCCACTCTGGGGATCTGGGATGCTCTGGCATCCTCACCCCCAGACTTTTTCTTGTCTTCCTGATTTGGGGTTCTCTTCCCTTTGCTTTGTCTCTGAAAGATCTGGCAGGATTCATGCAGTTCCTCCCTCTAAATCCATGGAAAAGAGGAAAATCCCCCAGAGCAGCTTGAGTCATTCCTGATGGTGTGCTTTGTGCCAGGACCTGCTGGAGCTGGGAATTCCCAGTGCTGAGGCTATCGGGAATTGCTGCTGGTTGTCCCTGATTTGTGGCACCTGCTCAGAGCCTCACACCCCAAAACCTGTCAGACTGAGCACCCAGAACACCCCAAAATGTGTTTCTGACAGAGCCTGCCTGGGCTCTTCTGGAGCTTCAGGAGATGTTTCCGATTGCAAAAATTAAATGCAAAATTTACTTTTAGGATGGAGATGGTTTCTTTGATAATGAGGTCCAGATCTTTTGTATCCATGTTGTGTTTTGTGTGGGTGGGAGGGACTGGGATTTTTGTTGGGAATTGTGCTGCTGTTGCTGCTTTATCCTGGTGTCGTGGGCTTTAGAGCACAGAATGCTCCGAGTCGTTTTGGATTTATTTTAGGAAAGTTGAATCAGCTGTCACATTGCCCCGAGTGCCTCCCACTCTTTGAGCCTTCCCTTGTCATTCCCCCTGGGAACCAGTTTCTGCTCCTCGGTTTTTTATTGATAATCCCATACTGAGGGAATGCAGTGGGAGAAGCAGGGCTGCAAGTGAGGATCGGCCAAATCCAGGGAGTTTATTCCTGTCTGAGTTCAGTTCCTCCCCCTCAGTGTCTCATCTCCAGCCTGGGTGCTGCATTTTCCTCCCTGGCACAAAAGCTTTCCTTCTCTGTTTTTTCACTAAATTTGTGTAGAATTCCTTTTGGCTTTGTTCTGTGATTTCCTGGGAAAGGAATCTGTCCCAGCACATTGCATGTGAATTATTGCACACACTTCCAGCACAGCTGTGCCAGATGTGAAGGCAACACAGGCACCTCACTGTGCTCCAGATGTTGGGCAGTGGGTGAAAACAAAAGTACCCATGCACCAGGTGAGCCTGAGAGAACCAAGAACCCTGGAATTCCAGGTTTCTCTGCTTGATTTTACGTTTTTTTTTCTGGAGCTCAGCCCAGGGGGCCCTTTGGGGCCATCAGCCCTTCCTGGAGCAGGAAGTTTCTGAAGTTCTCTCTTTATTTCTCTTCCTGAGACCCCTTGGGGCCATCAGCTCTTTCTGGAAGAGCATTTCTAAAATTCTCTCTCATTCCTATGTTCCTGAGACCCCTTGGGGCCACCAGCCCTTTCTGGAGCAGCACTCCTGGAATTCTGTCGTTCCCACGTTCTCTGGTTCCCCTGTTCCTGCAGAGAGCAGAGATCAGGGGGAGGTTTTTGAAGGAGCCATCAGTGTTACAGCAGCTCTTCTCATGTTCCTTTTCCTGTCACTACCTGCAGCTGATCCTTCCCTCTCTACCTCCTGACTCTGTCTCCTAAGTGGTTCCCAAAGGTCACTGAAGCTCTGGGATGCTCTGGGATTCCCTCTGGATGCCTCTCATTCCATCCCTCTGGCCAGCTCCACTCTCTCCATACGCCTTGTGCTCAGGTTCTGGAGGTCAGAGCTTCACATGGCGCTGATGTTGGGTGGTGAAAAACTCCTCAGTGTGGGCTCCTAATGAACCAACCCATTTTCTTTATATCAAAGCAGCTTCTGATCATGCCGTGGTGGCCTCGGAGCTTACAGCTCACACTTTTCATCTCGGAGCTGCCTGTGAAGTCCATGGAAGGGCTCTGCCTCCAGAGCTAGGATTTTGTGGTTTGGGATGTGTTCCTGCTGCTGCTCCTGTGCAGCTTTTCTGGGATGGCCCTGCAGTGTCCTG